TGAGGGTTTAGTGGTTAGTTGTGACCGAGATCAGTGGCCAGCTTCATTGTATTTAAGGCTTTCTATTTACATCAATAAAGTTTGTCAGTTTGCATTATCAAAGTTAACATATACTATATATTGTGTTTTTTATATGCATGTACGTACGTATTTCTTGATACATAGATAGAGCTTTTTTCGGCATTGAACAAAAGAAAGATTCGTTTCTTAGCTTTTCTTCAGGTTATTTGAAGTACTTGTACATCGACTTATCAAGATTCGAGAGTGTATGTACGTATATGCATGTATAATATACTCTTGCGTTCATACATTTTAGATGTACTTTCATATACTTTAAGGAATCATAATCGTTGGTCGTCATTATAATTTGAAAATCAACAATTGTTGCAACATGCAGAATAAGTGTCAACATGAGGAAGAGCGATAGCCATGGCGATCCAGTGCATTTGCTAAGTTGGTCATCCTAGCTCCATGTATGAATATTCTCCTCCATCAATCACACCTATCTTAATAAGTCTGTGTTCATCGACAGATAGCTAGCTAGAGAGGTTCCGTCGAACAATGCTAATCCGGTTAATGTCAGGTATATCTCGTCGTCGAAACTTGTCCTCCTTCGAGTTGTTAGGAAAAGATTAGTTATGGATCTTACGTCATTCTCTAGCTAACACGGTTCCTCAAACAGAATTCAAATCACGAGATTGAAGTTTGCATAGACCCACCGTATCGTGTGTTTAGATAAACTGTGTTAATATTGGGAGTTGTGAAAATTCAAACACACTAAGCCACTTGATCAAAACCACCTCAGCAGCTGATACCATTTCGTAAACTTGTTGGTCTCAATAATTCGAATTGTTGAGAGAAAGTTAATTAATAATCGCACGCGACAGTTCATGTGAAATAAAGATCCATTATTGAATCTCTCCCGAAATTTGAGATACTGCATATCCTTCCTCGACGAGAAAACTTTATTTAGACGTTGAATTAACCAGATTTTGAGACATTTATATGGTATCTTAATTAAATGAATGCATCACCGGTCATAATTTTCTAAATGCTCAAATTCAACTTCTTTTTTTACTCCAAGCCTACATCTCTCAATAGCTTCTCTCTTTCTTTTTTTCTAAATATTTTCCACATAAATCTTACTAATGTGCATACTAATATATATTTTTTGTAATAATTTTTTTTGTTATAATTCAACCGTAAGTTCTCTAAAATAAGTTCCTTACAGAGAGAAATCAACCGTCTTCACTGAGACTACCTTTCCACTATTTATTGATGAAGTACATAATGAAGAAAGATTGATTCCATTATATATTTGTTGATCAAATCATATATAATTCTCACTATAATCATACATGAGATGGAGAGAAAAAAAATCTGAAATTCCTATTTGAAATCATTTATCACAAGCCAATTCTCAATATTCTATGTATGTATGAATATAGCGAGAACTTTATACGACTCGATCGATAGTCGATAGGCCTATTGACGGTTCCTTTGCATTTTCTTGCTACCTTGTTTTGACTTTTCGGCCCAATCTATATGGACTTTTCTGGCTGCACGGTGTGGCATTTTATTTTCAGCTAGGCCCAGTCACGATTCTCAAAACATTTTTTCTGTTACCTCCTATGGGGCTTTGGCCCAACTACGGGGAAACGCCACGGCTAGGGGCCCAAGTTATATGTGCTATCAAGATTCAAGAGGTGCTAGCTCGAGATTGGAATTATCTTCATCACTTGTAATTCATTGTTCATACTCGATCGTTTGAGGGCGGAGGGATCAAACTTAATGTCTCGTATATTAAGTTTTTGTACATCGTTATCACGTAAAATATTGTGATTTTTATTTAATGTTTGTACAAATTATATATGTTGGTGATTTGGTAGCACAGGCTAGCACCTAGCATGCCTAAGCATCGCGCTTATGCGTGTGTCACGGTTCAGTTTCTACAACTCTCCAACACTCAGCAATCGAATTTCCTCACAACCTCTCTGTTTCACTCACCAATTAAAGAAGCAATTCACACCAACTACTCGTATTTCCGAATTTCGGTCCGAGAAAAATCAGACACTCACTATTACAGAATTTTTGCTCCAAAAAATAACCATAACTTTTGTCGCAGTTTGTATGTAAGGAGGCTCTCAATCAACAATGTAGAACCCAACTGATGCAAACCTGACAAAATTTATTTCAATTGGAAAATAGAGGCACTAATTAAGTACACACTCTCTCAATCCCCACCAATCTCAATCTCCCATCCCGTTGAATAAAATGTACATACATATATTTTTACTACTCAGGGCAGAAGCAGTAACAGCTATAGCTTGCACAGTCGCAAGTCTGGTAGCAACTGCTGGGCTGATCATCACACAACCACGAGTAATAGTTCTTACACGCAGTGTCGTTGCAGAAAGGATTGCAATATTCGTATACCGAACCCGGCGCAGTAACATTGTTGGTGGATGCTTGAGGTATCATATATGATTGCTGGGAGTCCAGCTTCTTGTGGTTGCTGCATATATGATTGATGTCAAGAATCAGATGATCCCAATAACTCGAGTTGTTAGGAGAGGTTCAATCGTGGATCATATACTAACAATTGATGGGATTATTGCGTAGTAGTAGGCAAGAAACGATTGCATGAGGAAAATATTATAACTCTACACAATGTGCATAAATACCTGATCGTCATGACTGAACCGCCGTTGGAGGCGGTAACAGCTGAAGCCATGATCCCAGTGATGATGATCAGCAGCAGCAAGACGGCCAGCTTAGCAACGACGACGGTACTAGTGCTGGGGATCGCCATGGTTGTTATTCTCATCTTAATTTCATGGTAATATATGCAGTAGTACGAAGAGTGATGCTCATATATATATACAACTTAGGTCATTTTTCTCGTCCTTATTTGAGGAGGGTTCGTTTGGATGAGGAATGGTAACGGATCAATTTGACACAATTGTCTCGTTTTGAGACGATTGTACCAAATTGCCTCATTTGGCCAGCAGAAAAAAAAAAATTTGGATGGATCAATCTGCCTGAGGTATTTTGAATTGATCCGTTTTGAGTCAATTTCAATTACCTGGGATGGGGCAGGTAATTCGAATTGACTCGTTTTAATTGCCGCGTTTTATAAAACGAGACAATTGATCAAATTGACTCATTTCTAGATTGATCCATCCAAACGACCCCTAAAGTATTGCTTGTGGAATCTGGGTGATGGATTTGACGCATCCAAACTTGGCACAAATGCATTATATTGTTTGCTAAGGGACAAAAATCTGTTGGGCCCACGAATTCGGACCTTTTCGACCCCGCAGATTTGCAAATCCCGCCACATTTCATTTGGGATTTGATCATGGAAGGCAAATTTGTGAGACAAATCCATCGTAAATCCATGATAATAGTTAACTAAACAAACAACGCGCGCGCTCTTCCAGATGCATAATGCAACAAATTTCGTCATAAATCCAAAGGTTTTTAGAACTCAAAACCTTCATTTTTTTAGATAAGAGTGATATAAGTTACTTTTTTGTTATTAGGTACTACTAAAGGGACTCGAATCTGGGACCTCCAGGTTCATGGCTAGTGGTATTACCACTAAACCAATACTTTGTAAGTACTCAAAACCTTCATTTTCAAATCCAACAAACAAACAATCCCTCTTCGGATTCATCGCTTTGCTACATGCTTATGGGATTGGTCGTCAATGATGAACTGAACACCCTGCAGCTTTTGGAGTACATGGGCGTCTATTTATGAAACAGCAACCATTCAGACGGCACATCATGCCCGATCGAGGAGACATTACTTTCATTTTTTTTTTTTTTTTTTGCTTCTTCCTTTCTGCAGAGATATGTTGATGCTTTTGCTACTCATATACAGTCAAAATGTTCTTGCTTGCTACGAGCTTCGTGTTTGGGGATGAACCCTAAGAATACGGCTACCTAGGAGGCCACAAACAAATTAGCGAATAAACAAACATACACAAGAATGTTGGAGATACACACGGACGGCGGCAGTGGATATTCTTCCTTGTTTTAGAGTTGTAAGAAGAACAGAGAAAGAAGGTCCCGTCGGTTAGGGTGTGGGCATTGGTTCGGTTCGGTCGAATTGGTTTCTTTACAATCAAGTTTGCAGCATTGGTGATTAAGGTGGTGATGAGTGAAAGTAAAAACTATAGATTAAGGAGAATTGTTGATTGGAAAAGAGTGGGAAATGACAAATGAGTGACAATAGCAGTTTTTTGCACGTACATGTGCATTCCAAAATTCTATGGTGATTATGATCACGGGAGCCTATTGATGGAGATGAAAGGTGTCAAGAACCAGTTGATCCCAATAACTCGAGTTGTTGGGAGAGGTTCAATCGTGGATCAAATACCACAACACTAACACACCCCCTCAAATGAAAGCCACAAGGGCTTGAAGTTTACACAGGTCTGAAGACAAGAATACCATGTGCTTAACAAATGGGGTCACCGGGAATCGAACACAAGATCTCTCGGTCACAGAAGGCTCTGATACCATGTCAAGAACCAGTTGATCCCAATAACTCGAGTTGTTGGGAGAGGTTCAATCGTGGATCATATACCACAACACTAACAAGGAGTACCGGAGAGTGGTTAATTAAGGCTTCAAGGAACCGTAAGAAAATGGAGTACTTTCTGAGTCTCAATCAAAGCATCTGAAAGAGTCAAGACTGAAGGATTTTATAACTATATTCTCTCTTTCAGACCACATGAAACAAAATTATGGTGTTTGTCTTTTGTATTAATTACAAACTAGCACAAGAAGTATTTGTAATGGAGAAGTCCCAGGCTCCCAGCATTCTTTGGTACAATTTCTCCTACAAGAAAAACTCTTCATTGTCTTGTATAGAGTTGTCCTCGTTTGATTTCATTTCTTGAAGCATACGGAAGGGTTTGTCAGGTAGATATCATTGAATGAAGAAAAGATACGACGAAGTACATACCACATGATCGTGTTATCGTATCTCCAAACCATATATCGAATAGACGCAGATAGTTGACATGGCATGCTATACTCACCTGAGTAATAAGGTGTCAAAGTTGAAGGTCCAATGCCTCCATGAAAGGCATGCTTCACACACTCCTTTGAATCATTAAAGAGAGAAAAGAAGAGAAGACGCATCACATCCTCAAAATCCCCATCCAACTCTATTGACATATAGCAGCATCTCAACAACCATAATAAGCCATTAATTCCCGCAACCCTTATGGGTTGTTCGAGGAAAGGGTGTACCATTCTAGTCTGAGATACCAACTGACACAATAAAGAACAAAGATTTTAAGGAAGGAGGGAAAAAAAGAAACAGAAATGTGTTCTCGGCTCCTATAATTTAAACAGATAGGTAATTTCTATGGATCACCAGCTCCATCACGAGCTTGCTTGCATCGACTTCTGACTTCCGACGATCAAATCAATCCTCTTCAGTGCGTAGGTGGTCTGGGATAGCGAGGGCGAACTGGCGTCTTTGATGGGCTTACCCTGCATTATTGCAATCATCGAATTGAGAACCAATGTCAAACATAACACCAAACGCGATCTTATAGTTCGCAGAGCCTGGCGAAGGGCTGCCAAACACACTACCTTATGGGCAAGGTTCCCAGAATGGCACCACTGCAGTTCAGAGCAGCGATTGCACTCTCAGCCTGCAAGACGCGAGAATAAAGGATACTCAGATCAAGAACTACAGACAAATAAAGTCTATTCAGCAGATCAGTGTAGCCAAAACGGACAAAAGCAATCCTAAGGTAACAGAAAGACGATTAAATGTTAGTGTTGGTCTCTGGACAACAATGGTATTATCATTTGGTCAGGACAGATGAAAGCATTACATAATCAAAGGGTAGTGCAGACATCCCGCAAATAATGTAGCAAGAACTCACTGTTTAGCAATAAAAACCATAGCTTTCAGCAAAATGATCCACAGCTAGGCTTTATTGTGTATTGTAAGTATATTAGGCGACAAGTATTATGTCATTGTGGAAGGCTACAGCTGTACTACAAATTTCATAGGATTTGTTTCTACCAAGACAAGGTTATACCAAGTGAGCATCATTCTCGGCTTTGTTTTCCTCTAACACACAAAATACCCAAAACTAATGGCCCTCTTTTGCAAGTGCAATGACACAGAGACATTTATTGTAAATCAAATGACTTCATAGGATAAATATTGAGCAGACAGAAGATTCAGTTCTTATCTCTGAAGTAAAATGAAACAGTCACCTAAACAATTAAGGATAAGAAACATCACAGTTTTGTTATCTACACAATACACTGACCGTGCTGCTCCAAAGGTAATATGATAGTCTAATACATCTGGAGTAACAAGCTATCCTTGCTTCACAGAACACAAGCATCCTAGTTTCTTAGCCCTGATACCAACCTAAGAAGCATCTGAATAAACACAGTTACGCCCCTGCAAACTTGAGTGTCTACAAGCAAGTGTACTCACACCCCAAAATTAAGATTCTTAAAGCAACAAAGATGCTAAAGCCAGTTTATTTCAGTACCTTGGCAACACAGAGTAAGTAAATTTCAAAAAACTCCAACTATAAACAGAGCACAAGACTCAAAAGGTTGTATATATCACCAGATGGACAGTCACCAAAACACAACAAAACAGGAACGAAAAGAATTTGGTCTACTCCAGAAACATAACAAATCCAAAACACCTAAGTATTGAAGCATTGCAAAATGTAAAACTACTAAATTGACATATCCACTAGACATGTGTTGTTATATTATTAAATGACGACATCGATATGTAAAAAAGCAGTATTACCATTGCAAACTCAACAAAAGCGATACGGGTTGAATGGTGATAGTCTCCAAGAAGCCTCAAACACTGAACCTGCGGGGGGGAAAAAAGAGAGAAGTTACAAATAAGGTGCTGCTAAGCGTACAAGAAAGATATTTTGAAAATTGCCACATGGTCCAGTACAAACCTCTCCACAGAAATGTTCAAAGAAAAGTCTCACATCCCCTGGGCTAATCTGCATTTTGAAGGAGACACTAGGTTGTTAAGGGGAAATGTTTAAGATAGCCAGACGGAACATAAAACTGGAATGTAGCTTCCAATATACCTTCTTATCTATATTGGTACAGTACACTGTTCTAGCACACATCTCTCGTTCATCTTCAGACTGAAAACCACAGCAGCATTAGAAGAACTAGAAACATTAATGAAGTTCATGACAATTAGATCTCATAGCAACAATTAAACATTCTCATCTCTTACCCTTGGCAAAAATGTTGGGTTCACAGGTGCAATCGCAGTTTTAGAAGGCAGCACTCTTAGTGGATAATATCCAAGCACAGTCCCAGACAAAGTTATAGCAGCCCTTGCACCTTCTGCACTCATCCAGTCAGTAAAAGTTAATAAAATTGCAGGACGTGGATTTCATAGCAATAAGGCAACCATGGCTATTGACAGTACCTTCATCAGTAAATTCAATGAACGCAAAGCGAAGAACTGAATTAGGATCACCACATATACGACAATCAACAACCTTTTTTCCACCAAAGAAGTAATCACCAAATCAGTTTACATTGAAAACCATCATAAGGAAATCATTATTGTCATATTCAAGCCCAAAGAAGAAATATTTACTTGTCCACAATGCAGAAATAGACCTGCCAGCTGCTCCTCAGTAACCTACAATCAAACAGAAATGAAGACACAGTTAATAAGCCAGACAGCAATGTTTCACTCAGATGCTGCAGAACCAAAACCCAAATGCAAGTTGCTGACCTGCTGGTCGATGTCAGACACATATACAGTCCTCCTAATTACTTCTTCCCTCTGAGCCATACTCCTCCTGCCACCATTGGTTCTTCTCCTTCCCTGGTTAAAATTGTTCTTCTGGAAACACAAGGAACAATGGCAACTAAATCAAACTGCAGACACCATGACCCATTTTGGTTCTAGACCAAATGATCATTGTTCTGATCTTATAGAGCTCCCTCCCCCCAAATATCTGCCACCCAACCACAACACAAAAACAGCAAAAAAGACAGAAGCTTTAGCACACAAACCCTTTTGATCATTCCATTAGGATTCCCATTGGAATTAAGCATTCCAAAATTGTTCGGATGCTTGAATCCACCGTTGCCAAAAATGTTGCCTTGATTGTTAACAAGAGAAGGAGGCACAAACTCCTGAGCCATGGGATTCAGCTTGGACAACATCTCCACCAACTCCCTCATCTCCTTAGCCCCATTAGAGTTCCCAAAATCCATCTGATTCCCACCACCTCCTCCATACCCACCATTAGACTGGTCCATCGACGCCAGCTGCCGCTGCTGATCCCCATCAAACCCATTCCCCATCTGGGCCCCACCATTCTCCCCGGTGGTTAAACCAGCCGCCGCCGCCGCCGCCGCCGTCGCCATCTCATCCGCACGCTCTTCTTGGTCGCACTTCCCCCCGATCGCGCCCCGATCATCGCTCTGAGACTGAGAATTCGAACCCCCAACCAAAGATTCGTTCATGGGTTTTGTGCTCTCCACAGTGTTCGATCCACCGTTTGCCTCCGATGACGCCAGAGTAGCGTCAAAATTCTGACTCGTCACCACCCCTTCTTTGACCCCAGCATTATCAGCCACCGCCATGGCTTAAAGCGCTCAAATTCCCCTCTAATCAAAAGAAAAGATCGCCTTTCTCCTGTTGATCAACACACCACACACGGAAATGGAAATCTCTTACTACCCAGAAGCCAAAAAAAAAAAAAAAAATTCGATGTAATAAAAACCAAAACAAATGCAGAGAGTTGTTGAAATAAAGCAGCTCACTCGTACCTGCCTGCCTTATCAAAAATGGGTTCCCCCGAACAGAGAAACGATTTGAGCGACCCTAAACAAAAAACCCCCCACTAAAGGAGTCGTCTTTATCAAAGAGAGAGAGATAGAGATGCAAAGAAAAAGCAAAAACAAACACCAACAGCTGCAGCTGCTAACACCTTTCTGATTGATGACAAACGGATTGCTCTCTAAGAGTTTTCCCTTCCCATCATTAGAGAAAAAGAAATCGACTTTAAGCAGAGAAACGAAAGAAAAGATCGATTCTTTGCACGGAGAAAGAAAGAAATGAAAGTGGGGGATTTTTCTTTTCTGTGTGTTAGTGTTCTTCGGATCGTCCGTTTGTGAGATGGGCTATGCTACAGCCTTTTGACAACTCCCTTATTTATTCCTCACTTTGTTCCCTTTTCTGTTTCTTTTTCCATTTCCACTTTGGAACCTTTCGATTTAATAATTATTTTTAAAAACAAATGTATAAAGTGGATGAAATAATCAAATAACTGATAGCTTTCTGTTAAGTTTCTATGGATTTCTGTTAAATAATTTTATTAATTTGTAAATAATAATAAATTTTGTCTGGAGAACCGTGCCACAGACAAGTCAAATTTATCCATTCCTGAAAAAAATAATAAAAAAGAACATTTCGA